AGACGCTGAGCTCAACTTACGCAGCACTGGACAAAGAAGTGAAGAAAAGTGCTAGGAAGGACAAAAGACGATTCTACGACAATCTAGCTACTGAAGCTGAGAAGGCAGCAGGCAAAAGGGACCTGAGGACACTATATCAGATAACCAAATCTCTATCCGGGAAGAGATCAACACAAGCGAAACCTATAAAAGACAGCCAAGGGAACCCAATTACCAAGGAAGAAAAACAGATTAAACAATGGGCGGATCACTTCAAAGGACTCTTGAACCGACCACCACCTGCAACCCGTCCAGAAATACCAACAACAGCGCGCACACAACTGCAAGTTGACACCAATCCTCCAACGAGAGCTGAAGTCTTGAATGCAATCAAACTTCTGAAAGCTGGAAAAGCAGCCGGACCAGATGGAATACCCCCTGAAGCACTGAAAGCAGACCCAGAGACGACAGCAGACATGCTGACTCCATTATTGCAAAAGGTCTGGAAGGAGGGAAAGGTGCCTACTGACTGGAGGAAAGGTTACCTCGTGAAACTACCAAAGAAGGGCGACTTAGGACTCTGCAAGAACTGGCGAGGAATCATGCTCCTCTCGACGCCAAGTAAAATCCTGAGTCGCATCATCCTGGAGAGAATAAAGGACGCACTGGAGACAGAACTCCGACCAGAACAAGCTGGATTCAGGAAAGGCAAATCATGTACTGACCAAATTGCAACTCTACGCATCATCATCACAGAACAAAGCATGGAATGGCAATCAAACCTCTACCTCAACTTTATAGACTTTGAGAAGGCCTTCGACAGCGTTGACCGTGAAGTAATTTGGAAATTACTCGAGTACTACGGCGTACCCCAAATATTCATCAACCTTATTCAACAGCTGTACGACAACGGCACCTGCCAAGTGATCCACAACGGAAAACTCAGCGAGGCGTTTGGAGTAAACACAGGAGTCAGACAAGGGTGCTTACTATCACCAATGATATTCCTAATTGTGGTGGACTGGATTATGCGTCAGACAGTGAGTGGGAAACGAGAAGACAGGAATATCCTGGACCGACGTGAAGAACCTAGAAGACCTGTATTTGGCGCGTGGATGATTCATGTTTGATGTCACACAAAATCGAAGACTTACAAGCGAAAACCGACCGACAAACTGGTCGAAGAAGCAGCCGGCGAAGACAGGACTCCAAGTGAACATAGATACGACAGAGGTCATGAAAATAACCAGCGAACCACAACAGCAGCAGCAACAACAGCCAGCGCCAAACACCATGAATGGGAGGGATTTAAAAGAACTCACTTCCTTCATTCACTTATTTAGCATTGAGCATTGTCTGAACTACAGGAAGTCGGAACGGACGAGGAAATCAAATCGAGCAAGAATCGAGAAGGCGACAAACACACACATTTATCAACCAACTGAAACCAATCTGGAAATTGTCGTCACTCAGCCAGCATCAACAACAAAATTCAGTCGGATTATCAATACAAACAACGTCAAGTCAGTCAGTTCTTCTATACGGATCACAAACTTGGCGGGCGGGTCACAAAGTATATTTCTAACAGCCTGTTGCAGACCTTTATCAACCAACAACTGTCTCCGTTTTATACTAAAGATCAGATGGCTGGGCCGGAAAGAATCACCAACAAGGAACTATGGGCACAAGCAAACAAAACAAGAACCAACCAATCGCCAACCAACAAATATGCAGGAGAAAGTGGAGATGGATGGAGATGGACACTCGCTGAGGAGGTCGCTGGGTGACATCAATCGTTAGGACATCGCTCGAGTGGAACCAGGCCGAAAAGGAAGCAAGCGGCGAGTGGGACGTCAATGCAAGGGCGACATGGAGGAGATCATGTGAAGAGGAGTTGAAAGAATATGGACTAACATGGATGCAGGTGAAAAGTACAGCAGAAGACAGAAGCGAGTGGAAACGTGCAGTTGAAGCCTTATATTTCACTAGGAACCCAAGGGAACAATAATAATAATATAGCGGGATTCACACCATGAATGTTGGAGGGATCTCAAGAGCTTTTTCTGTATACAGGGATCTGGCTTTTCTGTTTCGACGGCCAACGCTGCAGCATTGTAAGAGATGAGTAGGATACATAGTGATTTCGACAAATTACTTCACACATTGTAGACGACTTTAAAGGCGAAGGCTGTAGAGATGGAATGATCAGTGTCGACTAGTTGTTCAATGACCGCGTTTCATATTGCTCCACTTCCACCTGTTTTGTAACTTCCATACCTCTTATAAAGTGTCCTATAAATGACATTAACTGTTTTGTCACTTGACATTTAACTATGATTATAATCACAAACATTTTAATTGCACTTCACAATACTATTATTATTTTATGAATAAACACTTATAATTCAATTCCCTCACCGGATATAACTACTTAAAAACCATATACACATGCGATTGTACAGCTTAATAATAAATTCCTTGTTGGAAAGTGTCTCTTCACTTAGTCATTTGGTTTGATTATCTACGTCCCAATGGGAGTTTTCCATGAGTTTTCATACTGCCAAGCGGATGAATTGGTAAAGGTAACAAACCATGCACAGTTTGTTGGATTTCATAGACATTCGAGGTAGAGTTTGTACTAATGGTTATCTACATTATACCAGCCTTGTTTAACGTAGTATGCGGAATTATCCAGTCAGTGAATACTCTGTCTGACTGGTGAGCCTTATTATTATTGTTCCCTTGGGTTCCTAGTGAAATATAAGGCTTCAACTGCACGTTTCCACTCGCTTCTGTCTTCTGCTGTACTTTTCACCTGCATCCATGTTAGTCCATATTCTTTCAACTCCTCTTCACATGATCTCCTCCATGTCGCCCTTGCATTGACGTCCCACTCGCCGCTTGCTTCCTTTTCGGCCTGGTTCCACTCGAGCGATGTCCTAACGATTGATGTCACCCAGCGACCTCCTCAGCGAGTGTCCATCTCCATCCATCTCCACTTTCTCCTGCATATTTGTTGGTTGGCGATTGGTTGGTTCTTGTTTTGTTTGCTTGTGCCCATAGTTCCTTGTTGGTGATTCTTTCCGGCCCAGCCATCTGATCTTTAGTATAAAACGGAGACAGTTGTTGGTTGATAAAGGTCTGCAACAGGCTGTTAGAAATATACTTTGTGACCCGCCCGCCAAGTTTGTGATCCGTATAGAAGAACTGACTGACTCGACGTTGTTTGTATTGAAAATCCGACTGGATTTTGTTGTTGATGCTGGCTGAGTGACGACGATTTCCAGATTGGTTTCAGGTTGATAAATGTTTGTGTTTCTCGCCTTCCCGATTCTCGCGCATGGATAATGAAATACACATCAAAAAGACTCAGTTACTTAAGTCTTTCAATTAGTATTATATTTGGGTAGAATAAAAATATGAAGGGAGGTAATTCAGCAAAAATATTTTAGAACTTATCTGGCTAATATAGCTAAACTACATTCATAGAATATGTGGGTTCAAACAGCACGAGAAAGCGGCATAAAATGGTCTCCGATCCAGCGCAGATTCTTACCTCATATATCAAAACTTCAAACAATCATGTACTGATTGTAGGGATTTGGTTGATTGGTTACAGAATTTCATCATGAGCTGACATTGATTAGAGAACCATTGGAACACCTGGGAGTACTGGGCAGCTATTTCGTCCTAGTTTTGGACTCTTCAGTAGTATGCACCCACAGGGGTTTGAACCTATGACCTTCTGGGTCTCAATGGCTTAAGGGTCGACGAGCCCACCTTGTAACCAGAAGGCCCTGGGTTCGAACTATGGCGGTAGGTGCGTACTAATGAAAAGTCCCAAACCAGGACGAAACACCTGTCGATTACTCCCAGGTTCTCCAATGGTTCTCTATCCAATGTCAGCTCATTATGAAATCCTGCAACCAAACCGTTGGACATCTAAAATATCACTGGCAGGTTAGACGTTCATTTAGTTACCATTAAGTTGATTCTCTTTGGCCTATTAATTCTAAAACCAACTTTATATTGGTTCTGTTGAAAGTGCGTTACAAGCATTTGAAGTCATAAAAATAATATACATTTACATAATGAAATTGCCTATCATATTAGTATCAATTTTGGGGCATTCGAACCAGGCATAATTCTGTCTTTCAGAAGTTCTTCTGACATGAGATGTTCTGAAATTTCTCAGAATGATTTCAATGTCATAAAAGTCAATTTTGTGACCTGGTTGAAAACAAAAGCGTACAGACCGCATGGCTCACGATTTTCCAAAACTTTCTGCTTCCACTGTATTTCTCGGCTGAATGCGATGCGGTACTTGACGGACATACTTCATGAGAAATCAATATAAAAATTAACTCATGAGGAAGAACTATGAATAAATTACTTTATACCAGCTCAAAATTTTGTGAATTCTGGTTAAATATTACTGCTTTAACGATGATTTTTAGTGGCACTTTGAATATCGCATCGTTTTCGCATTTTCATTCATCAGGAAATACGGAAATGTTATTGGTATGCAGGGATTTAAATGGTTACAGGTTTGGTTAAGAACTAACCTCTGTTTTAAGTTGAGATTCTTCCACAGTACTCACCCCCGGATTTCGGAGCTTTGAATTTCCGTTTGGAAGGTGAACTCATAGACCATTCAGCCAAGTTCTGTCTGTTAGCGATATATAGAGCAACCGCTAGCCGATTCCCCTGGCGAACAACCGTTCGGTCATCTGACATGATGGATAAATCAAATCCCCGTAGCTGAATGGACTACGAGGTCGTCTTGTAACCGGAATGTCCTGGTTTCGAACCTTGATGAGTGCTTACTGCTGTACAAGACCCAGATTTCAACGAAGCAGCTGTCTGGTATACCTTGGTTTCCTAATCATCTTCTCTCCCATTGATGTCAACTTGCTATCAAATATATCATTTATGAGGCTTTTTGATTGGTTAAAAACAAAAATACACTCTACACTAGTTAATTCTGATTGGACAAAAAAATAATCCTTTAGGATCATTGTTATCCAATCAAAATTGTTTAGCTTCTTTTGTATACATCAAAGTTACTTTTAATAACAACGCAGAAGTGGCTGCCTTCAATTGCCTTTTTAAATTACATTTTTCTGAAAATTTATCATGTATTATGTAATTTAAATGTAATACTCTAAAAGTCATGGCTTTTTGTCTCATGTGAAATGACAGGATAAAATATGACATAAAAAAACACATAACTAACATGACTACTTCCCAGTGTTCACTAGCTTTACCCACAGATTCTATACATCCGCATAAAATGAATTCCCCTATTGTGATTAATGAATGGTCATCGGCTTCATCCGCATCAGCATCGCCATCAGCATGTCGACCAGATGATCGGTTAGGTGAACGAGTAAGTCTGAATGAACAACAACTCCCAGAGAAACTAGTACATCATGCATTAACAGACTCAATCCATACAACATGTTCATTAGAAACTCAATTGTACAATGAAGAGGAGAAATTCATTGCTGAATGTTTAGCTGTGGACAGTAGTCATCATGGTCACCATCATCATCATCATCATCATGATAAACTATTACATAATGATATCATTCTGGATGATTTCGATTATGATAGAGATTTATTACAAAATCCATATTTTTATACATCATGTACTGATTATGATTGTGAGTTAGCAGGTGGTGGTGTTGGTGGTGGCGGTGCAGCAGGATTTAATCATTCTCCAATATTGAGTAGAGGTTATTCAAGACATGCGAGGAAACTTGATAGTGATCCAACTATTATATTGACATTGTTGAAATGGGCACGTGTTGGATCTAGCCAGTTGCATGGGGATGATGATCAAATAGATAGGATTAATTATCAATTTACAAGTGTACTTCTGTTGATTTTGCTAACACTCACAGGATTTAGACAATATTTATGTAAGTTTGGTTATTCTTTTTGTTGTTGTTGTTGTCGTATTTTGCGTTTTATTGTAGGCAATGACATAATCTAATTGACGGGGTTTAGTAGAGCTCAGTTAGAAGGAAAATTGAAAAAAGTCACGTTAACACTAATGGTCATAAGCGGTACAGACTTAACAGGGAGTGAGGGAGCAGATTCTGCTGTAGGTTGTGTAACTGAACAAACGCCTTTTGTATTCAGAGTTCAGGTTTTAATATGTGAATAGCCATTGTAATAAAGGTTTTATGTGTATTTCCCAATGAATGAAAAAACAAAACGAGATTGTCACTTTTACTGACGTTTCGTTATTTAATGCTTACAGCTTTGTCAAAGTATTATTAAACCGAAATTTACAAAATCTCAGCATATACATAACAAAGAGTTAAGAGGTGAGAAAATAGACTTAGTTCAACTTAAAAGGACATATTGAAAGTCAAAATAACAACGAAGATCACTAAACCAAGTATCAAAGGTAATAGTACATCTGCTATGGTATCAGAACAAAGTTTACTAACTTGATCATCGTTCGTTAGTCTGGTGTCATTTTTCGTTGTCGAATTGCCAAGTGTATTGGATTTGATCAGCGTTTAAAATTATAAAAGTAGTGTGTGTTTACATAGTGAACTTGCACATCACATTCGTGTTGATTATGTCGCTTCATGGGACAGAGGAGGTGTTGTAACCAGGTCAAATCCTGTTTTATTCCATCAGTCATTGTGATTTCTGAAGTTTTTCTGAATTATGCAAATATTGTCAAAGTCAATTTTGTGGGGTGATTCTATAGAGCAGAGTGTAGACGACTTATGACTGAAGACTATTCAAGTTTTTCTAGTTCAACCGGATTCCTCATTCGTCAAACGGATAAGATAAGATAAGATAAGCTTTATTCCAAATCAGTACTTGTGATACAAAATGGAATTCTCAGCATTTTTACTACAATATTGCATCCAGTTAGTACATTAACAATAAATAAACTTCTACATAGATTAAAGTTATCTCAGTCAGTTTTGACAACAACATATTAGCATGTTGGTAGCAAAGCCAAAATTTAAACAGAGTGTTTTAAGGTGTTAGAAAAGTAGATACTACTAGCATATTTACTGGCGTAAGCGATAGCAAAATGGTCGAGATATACAGAGTGTGAAAGAACGAACAAGAATGTTTTAAATAGAGTTTGCAAGGAAGAGAGAAACAAAACAGCACATAACAAAAATAAATACAGAATGAAGAGAGAGAAAACGTTGTGCCTATAAATGATGTGAGTTGGAAAGACGAGATCCATTTGTTCTACTGACTATTTAATAAGTTAAAGGTTTCACGTCTAATGCTTTCTTTATCGCACAGAACACGAGCTAGGTAGGGTATGGATGAGTTTTTGTACTTACTAGTGCGGGCATACACTTTCCTATATAGGCTTCTGGTTTTGCCTGAAGAGATACATGGGGAGAGTTGTGAATGTAGAGGGTGTTGTGAGTCAGATAAGATGGATTTCGCCCATTTTTCACATGAATCCATGTGCCTGTCCACCAGAATATTAACAAGCTGGCTAAGTGGCACACTGCTCACCCTGCTGACAGCCTTTAACATCCTACGTAATAAGGTATAGTCTTTCTTCAATAGCCCAGGAAAGACTAAGGGGGAGCAATAGAGAATAATAGGCAGAATACGGGATTTAACAAATTGTAGGAGTAAGGGTTGGGTTACACCAGAATGTCTTAACTTCTTGATGTAGAAGGTAAGACGGAATATTTTCTTGGAAATCGTCAAGATATGAGACGACCAGGAAAGATCAGAAGATAGAGTGACGCCTAGGTATTTAATTTCTAACTTGGTTTCAATTTCAGTGCCATCCATGTTGCATATCTCGTGAGTGCTAACCAGTTTGTTTAGGTCAGATTTGTGCCTAAAGGTGAAATTAACTGTTTGGCATTTGGAGGGATTTAAGGTGTTCATTTCTTCTGATTACCTTGATTTCTCGAGATGCTGTCCCGATGTATATCGCAACACATTCCAAGCAAGCATTTTATTTAATAGACACAATTAGATAGAGAATCTTTAGGAATTTGACCTTTTGTTTCACAGTGTGTCTGATGTTTTGAAGAGATCTGTGATGTTGTGCTTATTGTGTACTCTCCTCATATCATCCGACATCTCTGTTTTATATGAAATGACAAATGTTGATGTCCATGTTTTCGGAATACATTTTACCATATTTGATGTCAGTGTTGATTTTGTTGATGAGGTTCTTTGGGTAGTTATTTTTCTTGAGGATTTCAGAAATGTCTGATAGTTCTTCTTCCTATTCTGTTTCCCTCTCATTCGTTATCAAAGATTGTGCTCATCTAAGAAGACTTAAAACAACTGCTACCTTTGTACTGATGGGGTGTGATGATAAGATGTCTAAATATTTGGAAAACAGAAAGATTGAGCGAAGAAATATTTATATTTCAATTAGACCCTCATTTCTGGCTCTACTCTAATATATATATAGCACTTTAATTACAATACAACAGTTTGCCAATCAAGTGGCGATAAGTTTGTTAACAATAGTTAAACAGTGTCAAAATGTCAATGGGTGGGTTTTCTTCCTAAATAGCCTGAATATGTTTGATTTAAAGCATTCAAGAGAGATATTCAGGTATTCTAAAGATGAGTTTGAAGTTACTGTGTGGTTTTGCTTGGTGTCCTGATTCTACCAGATGTTCCAGAATAGAGCTTCGGGAGACCCTATTCGTCCTTTATAAAACCATTGGAGTAAACGTTTGATGATATGTTTGGATATCAAACGCTGGGTGCGTTGGTGGCACACTGGTTAGGACTATCGCCGACCATTCACATGGTCCGAGGTTCGATCCCCTGCCACCGACGCACACCTGATATCTATGGTCGGCCTTCAAAATTTGAACTATCGATATCCATGCTGAAAATTCCATACTTGTGCCAAAAATACAGTGTGGAATCAAGCTGTAAACAAAAATAAATAAAATAAAATAATAGCAAATAAAATATCAACTAAAATTAGGAAAATTCTACAAAAATTCAGGATCATTCAAACCTAGATGGCCAAGCGATAAAGATAATGTCTGAACTAACTTCTGTTGGTTGCATAAATTAGGCTTGTTAATATGGATCCCCTCAGCCTCAGCAATATTTAATAGTTGAACTCTTAAGACAAAATTGAGATTCGTAGGTATGTGGTAAATACCTCTGAAAGCCTGATTAACATTAATCCTGTGTTCTGTATGCACAATAACAATAATTATACAGAACAGATCTTTCAGAATTGTTAGACAGTCAGTGAGGACTTAGGGGGCAGTGTTAAAATTTAGACACCTAAGGGGTGTGCACGCTCTCATGACCGTGGAAGGAAAAGTTGTGCTGGGAAGTAAATTTGAACTTGTAACTCAATTCTGACCAACTCTAGTATACCCCTTAATTAGGTTAATCTGACCTCAGACCTATATCTATCCTTAATCTAACCTTATTCCTCTCCTAACACAAGCTTAAATTAACAAGATATTTTGATTAATATTATCACACTGTATTCGACAGCTTTTTCAATGTATTCAGTGTCACTTACATGTTTTTACCTTCATGTTCTGACTGGTAGTTTCAAGGTCTTTGGTGCGTACACGCCTACTGAGTGTTTGTAGTCTGAATTAGACAACTTAACAGCATTTGAAAAGTGTCTCGTTGTACTTTGAGAATCATCACCTAACCAGAAGCTGGACCTAATACTTTCAGGTTAAGCAGCGAGTTGGTCAGTCCCGAGGCTAGGAATTCATTGACTTGTGAATTATAACTCCAGACAATTCACGATATATCGCTACTGTCAATCTTCTCTTAGAAGCCATAACTTCTCATTGAAACCTCAGGGAATCTATCCAGTAACGATGAATAACCTACAGACTAGCATTCAGATTTCGGGTGATTCTGGCTTGGTTTTAACTAATTCTCGAATTACTATCATATCATAAAGAAATTTACAAAATCCGAAATCTGAAATAGGCTTGAATGGTTTGCAAAAAATCCAGGTTGACAAGCTAATGCCATTTGTATTCATCTGTGATATGAATCTGACATATAAGCATCGAATGATTTGGCCTCATTACGACATACTGGTTACTTGAACCAGTGTCAAAACTTCTTGCTGCTTAACTTGAAGTTAGTTATTTAGGCGGTATCTAGCAAAAGGACTTCACCTAGGAGTATCCCCTTTTTCGATGGACTTAAATTAGATGCATAGTGAGAATGGTATAGTTTCTTGGCTAGTCTACAATAATAATAATAATAACATCTTTATTCTGGGTAGTATTTATAAAATGTACAGAATTTTCAGAGGAGTTTATTGCATGATATTTTCCCTTCGTACAATATCTTCAAGTAAAATATTAATTGACAGTATATACTTCCTGTGACACAGTGGTCTCTCAGTTGAGGCACAAACCATTTCATTATGATATATCTATCTGCTTTGTCTCCTTTCTCCAAGAATTCCACGATATCTAGCTGTGTTCAGAAGTACATTTTGAGACCAAAGGAAACAGATAACTGAAAAATCATTTCTCTCATGTATGATGACACGTCACCACCCATAATCAGCCCTTTCCTCAGTTTCAGTAGGATTTTACAAATAAGAAGCCTGTGAACACTTTTTAAATACACTCAAGAGTAGATAATACCAATAGAGGCCATATCTTCATCGAATGAAACAAACTGAACGAGAGAAGAAATATGCAACAGATAGATGGAAAGTTTTGGTAGCCAAAGCTTTTAACAGGCCGCCAATCATGTTTAACAATTTACCCTTAAATATGCATAAAATACTAGGTTAAATAAATAAATAAATATGCACAAATATTTATTTTGAACACACGTTTACTTGTGAAACTGATTTTTTGAAAATTTAAAGGCTAATTAGAATAAAAAGAACGGGAATGGGATTTACGGACAAGAATATTAAGAGTATAATTAACAC